GTGTGTTTGCCTCTGTAAGTGGCCAGCCTTACGTGGTCTGTCTGATGGGACCATTCTGCTCTCTAGATCGGCTGCAGTGACAGGCCAGGCCAGGCCACAGCAGTTTCGCTCATCTGCCCGTCCACTTACCACTTGACAAATTCATTAGCTTGTCCTGTATGCAGTGCACTGCCCTGGATACTGTTGAGAATACAGAGTAATCAATACCAAGGTCTGCGCCCTCAAGAAATGTCTCCCCAGGAGGCCGGCTTCGCTTCACTCCTGGACCAGGAAATAACACAGGCTGCCTTTCCTGGCTGCCGAGTCCCAGGGCTCAGAGAAGGGAAGCTGGCCTGGAGGGGCTGGGGGAGGAGATGGAGAGTGGGGGAGGGGGGGGCTCCCTGGCCTCTTGATCTCTTCCTCTTCTCCTTTCGGCCCCTAAGCCAGCCAGAATTTAACTTAGTCCTCACTCCTTACCCAAAGGGCGTAGTTACCGAAGTGCCAGTATGTCTTGCTAGCCGTCTTAGAAACGTACATGTAATTATACACGAAGTGATTTTTAAAGATAATGTGAACTATACCCTAAGGTTAGGAGAACTTTTTTTTTTTTTTTAACACTTGCTCTCCCTCCCTCCCATTCCTCAAAAGAAGCCTTTTGTGAATCTTTGAAAAGGAAATCATGATTTTCACAGTGGGGAGAATGAAACCTTGGTTGACCTGGCTGATAAATTTTGAGACTTTTGAATGTCGGGTCTTCTTAAAGTGGGATGCAGGCCGTTTGGCACGGGCAGGATAATGTTGGGAATGATAGATGTTGCACCGTGGACCCCAGGGGGGTTTTAGCAGACATTTCAGCTTCTGAGTACTAGGCCTAATTGAATGCCACTGGCTTAATTAGTGTATTGAACGTGATAGGTATGATGGCTTTGCTTCTGTGTTCTCCTCCAGTGTCTGTCCATTGTAGAACCGATCCTTTGTGTCTTGGAGCAGGTGGAAACATTGAGAACAGTGTGGAAGACGGTGAGCCAAGTGGAGAGTCAACCAAATGAGAGCGTTGCTCCTGTGGTTTTCTGAACCCAAGACTTACGTCAGAAACTGCGTCTGAATCCTGGCGTTTATAATTTAATAATATTCCTCCCAGTATGTGCTGTTATTTGTAATTTGAAACATATTACAGCTCATTGAATTTAGGCGTCCGTAGTTTAGACTTGCTTAAAGGCAGATTCTGTAAAGAATGAGGCCATCCGGGAGAAAAGGGTTGTCGACTTTGATGCACAAAATTGTGAGGACGTGGCCTCACCGTCGTAGGGTGAAGCCAGATGCCCAGGGCACACCTTTCAGAAGCCAGTGGAATGACACTCCGGTGCTAGAGGAGATGTGATGCATGTTTTGTCGAGAGGGAAGGGAGGCGTGTGACATCACACAGCTTCCAGCGTCGCGTCTTTGAAGAGGACACCGATTACAGAGGTGGTTGGTCTGCATGTTTCAGTTTACAGGGACCTTATCTGATAACACTTGGCATTGTTGCCTGATTAGTATCACGAAGAAGAGAGTGTGACTTTAAAGAAAATATCCAGGAAATCAAGATTTTCCCAATTCTAAGAGGTGTTCTCCCCAGCTCATTACAAGTTGTTGAAATTTTCCCAGGTTTAGAGGTAATTAGTAGACATAATTGATTCGAAAGGGCTATAGGTTGCAAACCTACTGAAAAGTCCTACGTCAGTCATGGAAAAATAAGAAGTTGATAGTAACAGCAAAATTGCAATGGAGAGAAATGTTCTCCAGATCCAAACAAGCCTGAAAACGCTGTTACTACAGAGTGGCAATTTACCAGAAAATAAATACTGGCCACACAGACATTCCCATTGCCCACAGCCATGAGACGTAGGAGTTAAAAGAAAGGATTGTTTTATTTCTCACCCTCTTTCATTTTATTTTTGCTAGTTAGTGGAGAAATGATTTTGGATAGGAAAATCACATTAGAACTTTGATAAGTTGCTTTTTGAAATAGAGCTGTTTCCATGCCACAGACATTTGGAGCGAAGTATGTTTATTGAAATATATTTTTATAGAAAATATTACAGAACCTGTAATTGAAAACTTATGGCAGTATTTCGGGGAGTGATATGTTCTTAATGTTAATTTGTGGATTCACTCTGAACTCCCTTCTGCTGTTTTAGAACCATTGGCTGAGTGAATGTTTTCCAAGAGTCGTTTCAGATCTAAACTGTGTTTCATGGAAGGGAGTATTTGGTGCTTAAATAATGTATAAATCCAGTTGGACAGGATCTGCCTGTCAGTTGTATTAACTTTGACCTTTTCTCCCATTATAAAGATGGTTTGGTAAATATTTAATGGGCCCCTTATAGATCTTGACAGTCAGAACTGTGTTCCTGGAAACTAGGATACATATATATGATTAACAAATGTCGCTTAATCACTGTGAGTCAGCTGTGAAGGGCAGGTTTTGTTTTTTGGGGAAGAAGAGTCTCCCTGTGCTCTGAGAGGTGCGCTCTATGTTAAGAGTGCCCAAGATGGCAGAAGGTTTAAAGGAACCCTTTAAAAGACAGTAGCGAGCGTGCATTTCTCCTCTTTGGGGTTTTTTGTTTGTTTGTTTGAGCAAATGATCAAAATGATGCCAGGTGGGCAAAATCACCCTGCCATTCTGCATAGTTAGCAGGGCTGGAATGGCTGAGCTTGCACGGGCCCTAATAAGATACAAGGAAGAAGGAGAGTCAAGGCGAGAGCCGATTCCTTGAGCCAGGAGGGGACCCCTGCCAAGCCCGTCTTTCCCTTTAATTCCATAAAGCCCCATGCATATTGCACTCATTGCAAATTCTGGTGGGGAGGATCGAAACCCAAGTAGCTGACATTTTGAAACATTGTCTTTCAAACTTGTACTGTCCCTTGCTTCCATTGATTTCCCATTTAAGAAATCTGTAGGAGAAAAACAAATTTGAGCAAAATTCATTGGTCTAAGATGAGTTGTTAGAGTCAAATTATGCCCCCCCCCTTTCCACCCCGAGAAGAGCTCCATTTTCATTATGAATGTGATACATCTTTGTCTTGTATTGTGTAGCCCATAAGGCTCCCACAGCAAATCGACCAAGTAAATCAAGAGCCTGTTAAAAAGCAATATGGATGCTCCAGACAGAGACATTTCAGTCTTACTGGGTCACTGGATATCTTCATTTTTATAGCCACTTTCAAGAAGCAGATCATTTTAGTTGGTTTTGTTTTCTTTCACTTTCTGTTTGTGTGCAGCCCAATGGCTTTAGGTGAGGCCATTTATTTTTCAGAACGTTATTACCCTTTGCATCCAGGGCCTAGCCCCTTTGATATGGTGGTCACCACTTTGATTACCATGAACTGTAATGTAGCTGACTCTGCAAAGGAAATCTATGCCTTGGAAGAGCATTTTAAAAGAAATTGATTCAGAGCTTCAGAGTGAAATACTATTTGTGTGTTTAGTTAATTCTAAATAAATGTTTGAAAGACCTTGCTTAATTTGAGAAGGGAGGAAGAAACATATTGGATGTTATAAATGGTCTCAATCCAAACTCTTAGCTTGGCATTTTCACATTTGAGTGTTTTGTTTACATCTGTTCAAAATTGTGATACCTTTCAAGGATAATTTTATTATAGAGAGATTGATGACAACCTTACAATCTAAAATACAAAAGTATGGGATTAAAAAAGGAAGGTGGCAATCATTGTCACATGTCAGATCGGATATCAGCTGCACTTGGCAAAGAGGGAGGGTGATGAGTGGTATTTTAGAACAAAAGCTCCTGATGGTAAGATTTGGGGGTGGCGGGGGGGGGGGATGACTGACTTCATTGGGGCATGAGGGAACTTTCTGCAGTGATGGACATTACCTGTACCGTGAGGGGAGGCGGCAGATTCACAGGTACACACGTGATCAAAACTCATCAAACTGTATGCTTAAAACGTGTGCATTTTATTTCATGTAAATTTTAACCCAGTAAAGTGGATTTTTTGTTTTTAGAAGTCCTGTTTGGTTTAGAATTAAGCAGTGTTTCTTCTCTTTTCCAATAGCGAAATTCAGGTCTAGAGAAGTAAAGTGATGTGTCCTGAGCAGTATGCCGAGAACAAAGCAAAGGCCACAGACCCAGAGCGCATTTAAAGTATTTTGCCTCCTTACCCCGCCCCCACACTGTATTGTTACAGTTACACCTAGACCCAGTGAAGTGAATTTCCCCGTCCAGTTCCCTGCAGCGAGCCTGTACCTGAGCTTGTACCCAGTGTGTGTACTCGGTTGTAGGCTGTACTGAGGAGGCTGTTCTTAGGATGGACATTTGTATCTTCACCACTGAGGACGGTGGCCCAGTGGTTCTGAACGCTGGGGCCCACCTGGGGTGTGTTCCATGTATGTTGATGATAAGCCACCTGGTGCTCCCAGTTTACTCGAGTAAACTACCCACTTACATGGCTTTTATTATTAGCAAGAGTTCCCAGAGCTAATTTGTCTTTAAGGAATCCCTCAGGATCTTATTATAAAAAATGACCCAGGCTTTAAAAAAGCCTTTTATGGAAAGCATGTATGGATGGATAGTAGTGAAAAAATAAAGTAGAATGTGAAAATTACCTAAGTTCTACTACTTAGGAATGTACTGTTAACATTTAAGAGACCACGTTTTTAAGTGTCTCTCCGTTGATAGTGTAACCTGTATCTTAGTTAACAATATGATGCTATAAATGTCTTTCCATTATCTTAACCAAGTTCCCAGTTACTGTCGGGCGTTCGACTGTTCCCAGTTCTCCTTCGTTACGTAATGCCGTGCCTGACAACCTTGTCCACGGTTCTTTTCCCGTTTGTCTACTCCTCTTACAAATATGTTCCTTGAAGCAAAATGTTAGTAGCTGTATTTGCGGTGATTTAAAATGTTGTGAGGCAGGCCGGGGGTGGGGGGGAGGGGATGACATATCAGGTATTGATAGTTTCATGGCCCTTGTCTCGCTTTTACCAAATGTCATTCCCCTTCCCCTTTGTTCTGCAGCTGCAGTACCACGCAGGTCTGGCGTCCGGCCTTTTGAATCAACAGTCATTGAAACGTTCTGCTAACCAGATGGGAGTATCTGCAAAGCGCAGACCAAAGGCTCAGCCCACGACTCTTGTGCTGCCGCCTCAGTGAGTAAGGGGTTTGAAAAACTTCTCTGGTCCCAGGTGAACTCTGCCTGGTGCTTGGTTTTGGCGAATGGGAAGTTCTTTTTGTGTAATTGTTCCTTCTTTTGAAAGAGGTGTCTGCCGAGATTAGAAACCAGGCGTGCAGGTAACATATTTCGCGTCGATCTTAAGTGAAGCAGTTAACGACGCAGTTCATAAATGACGTCTTTTGTGTGTGGTTTCTCCCCCCACCTAGGGTTGTAAGACACCTTACAGCCTTTTCTTTATTCCCCTGTCACATTCCCAAAGTTGGCAGAGCTGTGAGTGCAGCTGTCCTTCTTTAACTGACGGGACAGCTGAGGAGCACGTTTTGATCACGCTGGTGGCCACCTAGAAATCTGGGGGGGCTGGGACCAGGGTCGTGCTGGGCTGCTCGCTCTTTTTTTAAACTAGTAAAATACACGCCCTTCTTTTTTCCTGGAAGGGGAGATAAGAGATGCCATGAGGTTCCGAACACGTTCAGCTTGGTGACAGCTTTCACACAGGTGTCCACCCAGCCCAGGCCGTGTGGCCACCACCCCCGGGGTCCCTTGAGGGCTCCCCCCCAGGTTCCCAGTCTGCACACGTGCTGCCTTCCTACCCAAGGTTAACGCTGTTCCACCATCTTTGAACGATTACTTTTACCTGCTCTTGAACTTGGTATAAATGGAATCACATGGCATGTAATATTTTGTTATCAGCTCTGTTTCACTCAGCACAATGTCGGTTAGGTTCATCCAGGTTGTTTGTTCTTTTTTGTTGCTCTTTCGAATATGCCACAAGTGATTCATCCATTTCCCAGTTGGGTTATTTTGTGCTAGAAGCCCTAGTAGATGAAGGCCGAGGCATACTCAGTGTGGAGTCAGAATTGCGAACACACCAGGGGAGCCTGGGTAGCTCATTGGTTGAACGTCTGACTCTTGATTTCCACTCGGGTCATGATCTCATGGTTCGTGGGATCAAGCCCCACATCAGGCCCTTTGCTGAGCATGAAGCCTGCTTAAGATTCTCTCTCTCTCCTTCTGCCCATCTCCCCCATTTGCATGTACTCTCACTCTCTCTGGAAGGGAGGGAGGGAGAGAGGAAGGAAGGAAGGAGGGGGTGGGGAGGAAGGAAAGAAAAGAAAAGAAAAATGCCAACACACCAGCCTTTGCTGGTAGCTTTCCTGTGAGCATACACACTCCCCATAGAGAGGCAGGACTCCCAAATGGCTTGGCCTGGACTCTAGACACATTCCCTAGGCTGTCCCGCCCTCCTGCTGTACCCTCTTTTGGTGATATCCTCAGTGACAAACTATAGTTGACACCTTGAACCATGCAGGGGTTACGGTTATAGGCACAGTCAAAGATCTATGTATAACTTTTGGCTCCCCCAAAGCTTAAGTCCTAATAGCCTAATATTGACTGGAAGCCTACAGATGACATAAATACTTGATGAACACTGATTTTGTATGTTAAATGTATTATGTAGTCTTACAATAAAATAAGCTAGAGAAAAGAAAATGTTATTAAGGAAACCAGAAGGAAGAGAAAATACGTTTATAGCACTGTTTTGGAGAAAAAGCCACATATAAGTGGATTCATGCACTTCCAACCTGTATTGTTCAAGGATCAACTGTACTTTTTAAAGTTTCCAGCCCAGAGCAGTGTTTCCAGGTAAGACTCGGTTGTTTGCCTTTACACAAGATCTCTTTTATTTTCTGTTTGATTAGCAAGTATTTTTTATACCTACTGTCTGCCAGGCACAGTACTAGGCTGTGGGGATACAGTCATGAGGAACGCAGCTGTGGTCCCATCTTCATGAAGCTTTTTGTTTGCTGGGGGAGAAAAGACCCCCCCAAAAAAATGCACACCTAAACAAAGTAACACACTCATATAATAATTTTTGGTTAAGATTAATGCTTAGAAAAGAAGACTTTTCTAAGTTGGAGCCGGGGAGGCTGCTTAGATCGGGTGGTCCAAGGAGGTGACGTTCGATGTAGAAAGGCCAGTGGAGAACTGCGAGGTCACAGGGGATGCCTCTGGAGTCTTCTCCCTCGCTGGTGGACACTCACACCATCCCTTCTGGGATTTTAGAGTTTTCTTCACAATTTATGTTTGCTTCCAGGATAACTAACCAGCCTCTGACAGGTTATTTTCTGCCTGCTGCATGCACAGGTGCATGCTTCTCAGAGACTTTCAGAGATGCCAGAGAGTTTTTTCCTTTGGCAGAAAGCTTCTTGAGGAACGTTATCTGTTGTTTCTTGTATGTTGATTTGGTGATTCTGCAAATCTCCAACTTTCAGCCCTCCATAGCCTAATGGGCCTTGTAACTTGTCATTTTCCCTGCATGGCTTGTCTACTGAGGCAAGATGTTTGGCGAGAAGTGAAAGACTTTCTAATGGTCCCATAAGACTGGAGCCAAAAAGTGTTTGTTGCTAACTCTCTCTTGACAAAAGTCAGCTCTTAGTCCATCTGTTCGCCATTTGTTAATTTGCATTGGCTTGAAACCTGTTTACAGGTGACATGCTATTATGAGGACACTTAGAAACTATTTTAAGCACCAAGGCAATCAACAGACTGTTCTTATGCCAAAAAAAAAAAAAAAAAAGGGAGGTGTTCACAACTGTCATTATAAATTTATAATAAATCACTCAAAATACTTAGTTTCAAAGAGAAAAGTGGTTACTGTGTCCTAAGGAAATGATTTCCTATACTTAGTAGCCTGTTTCCAGTTGAAAATTGACTGCTGCCTTTTCACATCATTGAGCTTTTTGGGCTCATGTTATCCTGGATCCCTTCAGAGACCTGTCCAGGAGTCAGGATCTATATCTATATCTAAAGGACAGTCCGTGCATTTTTACTGAGCGCCTACTATGTGCTACTTACTGTGTTAGAGTCAGGAATAGAAATACCAGTAAGACATAACTGCTGGACTAATTGAGTTATAAAATATTGTAAAATGAAAACATAGGCCACTAGTAATATATAGATAAAAACCAAAGATAACAAAAAGGAAACCATAATGATACTGTCACACTGAGAAAGTTATTGTTAAGGTTTAGATGGATATTATTCTCGACTTCTATGCGTACATAATTTTTAAAAACAAGAAACACCCTTCAAAAAGGATTGTATAGTAATGTTCTGTATCATATCACCACATTTACTGAGTGTAGCTGTTAGACTTTAGTGTGATTTTATGGAACATAAAGTTTGCATATCAGTCAGCATGTTATGGTTATATTCGGCAGAACTCCACTAATTATAACATTTTTTGTTATAAGTTTGACATGACCATAAACTGACTTTGCCATTAGGGAAATTCCTTATAAAACAACACCCGAATCTTCCAGGGCTGGCTGCATTAGCCGTCTATTGCTGCGTAACAAATCCCCCCAGAACACCGTGGTCTAACAACAGTGAACATAACCTCTCACGTGTTCTATGGATCAGGAGTCTGAGAGTGGCGTGACTGGGTGGTCCTGGCTCAGTCTCTCCATTGCAGTCAGTTGTAGCCAGGGATGCAGTCATCTGGAGGCTGGACTGAGTTTTGAAGGTCTCGTCCATGGTAGTTCACTTGCACGTGGCAGGCAAGTTGGGACCGGCTGTCGACAAGAGACCTCAGTCACCCTGCACAGGACATTAGAGTACCGTCATGACTTGCAGGCGACTTCTCCCCGAACAAGCCATCTAAGAGGATGAGAGCCAGGAGGAGTCTATCCTTTTTATGACCCAGCCTCAAAAGACACAGCATCCATTCTGCCCCCTTCCGTTGGTTAGAAATGAATTTCTAAGTCTGACTGAGGTCCAAGGGGAGGGGACGAGGCTCTCCGTTTTGAAGGAAGGAGTGGAAAGAATTTGCGGACCTATTTTAAAACAACCTCACTTGCCAATGAGGAGAATGATTGCACAGAAGGAAGAATGGGTGAGCCTGTAAGCCCCATTCACTTATGTATTCAGCAAATATTTACTCAGGGCCTACAAGCGCTTGGTTATGTGCACTGTGCTGTGGATTTGGAGACGAAGAAGGTAGAATTTTGGCTTTCGGGAAGCTCTGAGCAGAAACGGGAACACACATGTAGCAGGGAATCCTGGTGACGTGTGCCAAGTCCTGATGGTATGATCCCAGTGTGCTCGAGAAGGCCACGGCCAGGGTGCGGAGAGGGATCCACACTTAGGGAGGCGCGGCCAAACTTCACTGAATGTCTCCACTGCCGGGTGGGAAGGATGGAGGCTCTACTTTATTGAGAGAGCTCGGTGCCTCCTCACACAGGCTCACAGGATTCTAAGGAAAGATTTTATTTGTCAGCAGCAGAGGGCCAGTGCTGGGCTCCATACCCCTCCTCCTCTGGAACTCTGTTGGTGCAGTGACAGATGGGTTTCTGCATTGGCTTGTGTCAGCATTTGGATGCCAGTAAGGCTACTACACAAAACCACCAGCTCGGCCTAAGTGCGCCGAGACCACAGCCCAAGGCACAGCAAGAATGCGGGAGGTTCGTACAGCCTGTCTGTGTTTGAAATGCAGTTGGCTCTAACAGTAGCGGTCTTTGAAGACTCAGAGTCGCCCCTGAGTTCCCATAGGATTAGCGATTCATGGGATTAATGATTCATCTCTTTCTCCTCCTCCAAAGAAGCCGGTAAGAAGACAGAGATGTCGTTTGCGCCGAAAGATCTTTCATCACATGTCAGCTGATGAAGCGACCATCCTCCTGTGGCTCCCGAGTGCTCGTGTCAAGTCTTTTGCAGAAAGGGCGCTGTCGTTTCCAGAAGGGAGCTGTGTCCCCTGTTCCTAGGCGAACAGATCAGGCTTTTGACCCTTGTAGGATCGAGATCGGCTGGCGGGTGGCTGTCTTACTTGTTTGATCTACAGGTTGTGCGTGGGGATAGCTGTGTGTTTAATGGACGTCGGAGGGAGCCGTGTTTGCTTGCGCTCTCTCAGCGGTCTCGGCACCCTGACACCTTGTCCAGTGTGCTTCCCTGCTAATGTAGGGTGTGGTTTAATCT